CCGGAAATGGAGCGATCACAAAACAAGGATCAGGAACGCTGACATTGACTGGGAATAATTCTATAAGTAGTGCTGTAACAGTTGCCGAAGGAACTCTAGCTGTGAATAATTCGACAAGTGTGAATTCCCAATCTGTAACGCTGGCGTCTGGAACAACTTTAAAATTTATCGATAATACATCTTCTTTCGGGGATATTAGCATCACAGGTGATGCTAATATTGAGGTGGGTGGATCAGCCACAGAAGTTGTCCTTAGTGGTGATATTACTGAAGCGGGTTCAAGGACTCTAACAAAATTAGGCGAAGGTCGAGCTGTTCTCACTGGAACGAATACATTTACAGGAGGAGTGAATATCAATGCAGGTTCTTTAGAATTAGATTCTGATGAAAGTGCCAATGGAGGCGATATTGCTCTGGCTTCTGGAACGACGCTTGCAGCTAATGGAACTTTTACTATGAGCTCAAATGTAGCCTTTAATGGAGCGAGTAGTTTCGATGTTTCTTCGGGAACAATTACTGTAAGTGGAAATGTTACAGATGCTGGTTCTGCAGGAATGACTAAAACCGGAAGTGGGGATTTGACAATTTCTGGCGATACAACGATTGACGGTCCTCTTGCGATTACTGGGGGAGCTCTGACCCTTACAGGAGGAGGTTCACTTCCTGCAGCAAATGGTGTCACAATGAGTCATGGAACTACATTGAATCTTTCCACCAGTTCAGCAACGTTAACAACGGCATTTTTATCCGGAAGAGGGACTGTGGCTCTTGGAGGAAATACCCTAACAGTGGGGAATGCAACTGATGCTGCAACATTCAGCGGAAACATGACTGGTTCGGGAAGTCTTGTAAAAATGGGTTCTGCAAGGAACTCCATTAATGTAGGAACTTCATCATATTCTGGAACCATTATCGTCAATGGAGGGGAATTGAATTTGAATGGAACCCTCCCTTCAGACGTCACAGTAGGAAGTGGTGCAATTTTTAGTGGAGCGGCTTCCATTTCGTCTTTAACAAATGACAGTAGAGGGACAGTATCTCCAGGTAATTCCATAGGAACCATCACCATTTCTGGTAATTACACACAAGAACATGACGCTGCTTTAACGATTGAATTAGATCAAACATCTTCATCAAAACTCGATGTTTCAGGAGATGCAAGTCTAAACGGATCGTTAATTGTGGATTTTATTCAAGGAACCCATCTCAAAGGGAAAACCTACACGATTGTTGAAGCATCCAATGTTTCAGGGACGTTCAATCATACGAACTTAAATCAACTTCCTGTGCTGATGTCTCTGTGTATGAGTCGCAGGCAGTAAA